ATCAGGGAGCTCCCCCCAGGACTGGGGATGCTCCAGTCACACTCAGGACAGGGCTGGGCAGCACCTGACGTTTCTCCAGTACTAACAAGTAATGGGAAGTTCTGCATTCTGCTTAATTGGGTCTGTTTGCCAACCCTAAAGCCTCACCTGAAATACTTCATATTGCTGCAGCAAGACCCTTGCTTGCTTGGCAGTGCTGTCATCAGTGTGCTGGATGTCCTTAATCAGTTGGCAGTTGGTCTCTGCCAGATGGGCACTGCACTGCTTCAGCTCCTCGATGGCATTTTTCTTCAGATTGGCCAGATTCTAAAGGAATTTGTGGATTAAAGTGTTGGGGATTCCATCAGTCCCACCTGCCCCAAATTTCTTACCATCATCTGCCATCCCTGGGACATCCCTGTCTTGTGGTAACAGCACCAACAAGGCCCTGGCCACCCTGGCATCAAACAACAAACCTCAGCCTCAGTCCTGAGGCAATCTAACATCCCCCATACAGCATCCTCCTGCTCCTACGTTCCCTGCTATCAGCTGCAGGATCGCTGTCTCTTTTATAACCATCTTTCATCTACTAAAAAGCCGTGGTGATGTCCTTCACCTCAACCTTCTCTTTGCTAGACTGAGAAAATCTGATACCGACAGTCTTTTCTAACAGGTCACATTTCCAAAATCTCATCCCTCCTACTGCTACAGTCTGGACTCTCTCTTGGTTTCTCTTAATTTTTCTTGATAGACAATATCAAGGTTAGATTTCACCAGCATTAAGCAGAGCAGCATAATTACCTCCAGTGTATTAATAAATAAACACATGCCATTTTGCTAGAGTGAGTCAGGCTGCTAGAATTTCCTCCATAAAGGCAGCCAAGGTAACTGTATGGATTTGCTGCCTACAACCTAGCACTGGATTTGTGGCACATACCGTGATAATTTTGATCTCTTCCATGGTTTTAGCTAATTCAGCCTTCTTGAGTGCTAATTTCCTCTGAGTAAAACTTCTGTATTTCTCTTGGGATGATGATGTCTCCGAAGGCAAGGGTGATTTTTTACTCAGCATAAATGCAACTGGTGAAACAAAAAAGAGGCCTGTGCTTATTTCACAGTCCAGTTTCAATGCCTTACATCTACTCTCTCCTGTCATATGTGGCCGAGGGAAATATAAAGAAATAAAAAGAGAGACTGAATTCAAATCTTCTGCAGCACCAGCAAAAGTGGCTCACAGTCACAGCCCAGGAGCTGAGCCTACAAAGCGCTTGCTGGTCTTTTCTACTTCTCCCTCTTTATTCTCAGCATTTCCCCTTGGGTAATTTTCTTTTTGTGGCTTTTGCTGAACGTCTCCCAGCAGAAAGCACTGGGTTAATGCAAAAGCAGCACCAGTGGTCAGGGAAGCAGTGCAGTGTATAAGAGGCTCTTTCCCAACCTGGTTTGGTCTTCTCCCCTTTCTTCTTCTTGTCCTCATTGGTCAGTGGTGGCAAAGTCACCCTGCGGGGTGGAGATTTCCTCTCCTCTGTCTTCTGCCATTTGCTGTAATCCTAAACTCAACGCGACAGTAGCAGAGAAAAAATCGGGAGTCAGAGGAGATTTGTGAGCAGAGACACCTCTGACATGACCCAGAGTTCCGACTCCCCTCTGCAACTCCTCTGGGGCTGTCCAGGTGTCCCTTTGTGCCCTTTACCAGCAGCAAGTCTCAGGTCTCTTTGAGAGACACTGCCTTTACAACCACAGTACTGTAAGTGCCATAAATCCCACTGGAACGTGAGACTTAACTATTCTCTTTAACTCCTCCATGATACTCGGAACCAGGCCCTGTGCATCCACCTCCGCGCAGGCTCTGGAAGGTAAAAGCGTAATCCCAGAGAGGAGGCTGAGCGCTGTAGCTCTGCCCATCCCCATGGACAAGCCTCTGCAGGTCCAAAGTCAGAGCTGAGAGGCAGCGACACCCCCAGGGCTGTGGTGCCCTTAGTGAAGCCCACCTTCACCTACCTCCCCTCCCCACGGGGAGCCCCCTACCCATCCTCCCTGCCCCATAGGGAGCCCCCCATCCCAATCCATGCCCCACGGCGAGTCCTCCTGCCTGTCCTCTATGGGGACGATGGACAACCCCCATCTGCTCCTGTCTCCCATTGGGAGCTCCCCTGCCCCACGGGGATCCTCCATACCAATGGGCCCACGCCATCCTCCTGCCCCCCCGGGGATCCCCCATGTTCCCCTGCCATCCTCCTGCCTCCCGGGGACCCTCCGTACCCCCCGTCCCCGTCTCCCGGCCCTCGGCCGGTCTCCATAGCGACAGCAA